AGGTACTCAAGGATCGAGAACGTGCGGATGGAACCACAGTTCATTCAAACCACAGAGTATGCTTACTTGAGAAAGATGATGAAAACGTATGTACTGTCTTACAGAGAGCTGAGCTTTGTCATAAGTACTGGGTACAGAAGCTATTCATCCTATGCAGCAATTGTGAAACTTCTGGCATCCCCTCGCGGAAAAGGCAACCCTTCAGGCACAGCAACACACCACGCGCCTATGATCCTTTATCCTCCCTGCCTTGCACAACAGGCCGGAAAACATCGCGATTGATGGATCCCAACAGGTCTGTTGTAAAGTAACAGAGAATTGTTATACACAGGATAAGGTTTTCTGCGAATCCAAACAACCTCGCCTTTCGAAAGCGTGGGTAATAGGCATCAATAAATCGAAGGGAACAATGATAGGCGCCTGATAACAGAACGTCAGAGTAAGAGCTGGATAAACAGAACAACATCAGACAACTTAATCAAAACATTTCCGCAAGTGGGCGAGCGGAATCGCTGGGAGTTCTGGTTGATGTCTACCAGAAGCTAAGAAAAAAGTCTCCAACATATTCAGATATGTCTTCGATGAGTGACATGAATAAATAAAAAATCATTGACAAAAAAAAACTATAAAAAACCGTTGTCAAAGACCACTCACCGCTCACTTCCGCTCCGCTCCTATTTGCCACATCCGCAGGCTTTTTCTCTTCCTCTTTGAAGTGCACACGATTCTCAGCAGCTTGCTCCAGAATCTCTGGTGTAGTGTGATCAATTAGAACTGGCTCATCAGCAGCTGCAGCTGCTGTAGTGGCATTTTCTACAATCCTCTCAGCTGAGGGACTTCGCGACGGAGTGAACACTTCAACTGGTATAGGAACCGCTTCCGCTTTCGGCTCTAATTTCAAACCTCCAGCGCTCGGCAATCCGTCCTTCGTGGCGTCCGCTCCAGCGCTCAGCAATCCGTCCTTCGTGGCACCCGCAGGTGCAGAGACGGCTGATGGTTGCTCATTGGGAACTCCCATTTTGATTTCATCTTTCTGTGTCTCTACTCTTTTTTCAGATGGGTCCTTATACACTATGCTAATCACTGCTGGCTCTGCACTGGGTTCCTCCAACTTCGGCGGCGATTTGGTGGGTTCCTCTTGCTTCTGTTGAGTCTCCTTGTACACCAAGTTGATTACAGCTGGTTCTGCGACACTAGGTTGACTACTATCAAGCGTCTTCTGTTCGGTCATAGGTTGAGGGGCTTCTTTTTCAGCCGGTTCTGTTCTCTGGCGGTGGTCCAGGTCATTTCCAGCTTGGGCTGGCCCGTCGGTGGACTTATCACGCTGACTCGTTTCCAATGGTTTGTGGAGCTCATTTTGAGGTTCCGTGCTGTCCTTAGGAATTGGCTCTTCCTTTGGCGCTGCAGTTACTCCGTTCTGAGGACCGCCATTACCACCTCTGAACAACAAACTGATCACAATTGCATTTCCTCCGCCATTTTTTTGATTTGTTGAGTTTGCTGTTGCAGCTTCACCAGATGTTGGGGCAGAATTGGGTGATGAAGAAGAAAATGGGTT